TTTTTTTTTAAWCAACATTTGCTAGAGTCCCTCCCAGAAAGAAAGAGGCTGTCCAAATGAAGGGCCTGGCCTCTCAGGCTTATCTTCCTTCTAATCAGGGAAAATCTGCCTCCACCAGAATTGGAAAAAGATGACTGTGTCCTAGTTGACCACTGGATGATTTAATGAGCTTATATTTGGGAACCAGCTTGTATGTTCCAAGCATATACTTGACTTTAATCCGTCAACTTAAAGTCAGCCCACTGAGATGTACCCTCTTGGAGAAGCACACGGAAACAGGCCACTGGGGGAAGAGTAAGGCCTGTCTGCAATTTACTCACTCTAAAGCAAATACCCCTTGAAATATTCTGAAATTTTTAAATTGTAATTTTTGTTGCTGTGTGTTTGAGTGTAGATGAATTCACATAAATCAAATGCAAACATGACATGGTTCTGCTCAATAAGTATATTTGCGAAAGTATAGTTCTTTTAGCATGTGGACAAGTTCTCCACCTCTCCAGGAAAGCTTATCTACTTCTTCATTCTTGATTAATTGGGAGGTAGATATCTATGTTGGGGTAGCACAGGATTTAGTTGCAAGAAAGCAGAAAATTGTTGGTAGGAGTGTTGTATTTGCTGGCCTTTGCCTCATGTTCATTACTATATATTTTTCCCACTCTTTGTCTTTAGACAGAGGTTCTGGGACTCATTTGGTCACCATGATTAGAAAATCTCACTTTTAGGAAGTGATTCGTGTTTCCTGCTTAGTGGTTTAGCTGATGCACCTGCGCAAGGTGTAATCTCAGTGAGGTGATAAGGCAGGGACCCGACCTGGCCTGGCATTCTCCCTTCAGCCTTGACTTCAGGAATATGTCAGTGCTCCTCACAGCCCTGGACCAACACACGATTGCTTGTATTCTCAAACTGCTTATTTTCTTCATCAGTCTGCTTCCTGCATATTTTCTAGCCCCCCACCAGCCCAGTTGTTAGCCTGAGGACTTTTTATCCTGACCTGGAGACTTTTAAGCTGACCATCTCGCTGGCCATAATCTTCCTCATTTCAGGGGCAAATCAGCACTGTCATATCTTAGCCAGGATGTTTTATTTAGCTCCTCCTTTCTAAATGAGAGCTTTTCATTCTCTCATTGATTCTCTCACTCATTCATTCATTGAATATACATTTTGGGAACACCAGATAAGTGCCAGACTGTCAGTTGGAGGATGGTATACAGTGAACTAGTGATCTGGCAGAGAGAGAGAGAGAGATGTGCAAACAGTTAAATAGCCCAGTGTTTAACTACAGTGGACACAGAATACTACAGAACAGGGTGTGTCAGTAGGCAAGGGAGAAGCTGAGTTGCCTTCGGCAAGGTTCAGTCTGAAGGAGGCTTCTCTCTTGGCTCTACCAGCATTAAATAAGAGTTTTCAGTCAGAGGGAGCAGTGTATATGAAGACGGAAGCCTGAGAAAGGAGGTATCTGTAGGGAACTCCAGATGGTTTAGCCTTGTAAGCTGACATTTTCATATGAGGCAGGGTGGCAGTTGGGACAGATGACCACCCTGCTGTCCAAAGCCTAATGTAAATTGTGATTTTTCCATCTTTTACAGCCATCCCAATGGAAAATGCTTCGACAGGAACTGTTGAAGTACCTGGAATGCTTCTTGACTGCTGTCATTAGCGGGTGCCCGATGTCTGCCCCACCCAACAGGACTGAAGCCATATGGGAAAATTTTATAACTTGCCTAAAGGATCAAGATCTGATATTTTCTTCAGCACTCAAGGCCCCATATTGCTATCTCTTAGCAAAAACTGCTGTTTCTAGACCTTTATTTTTGGTTTTAGATGACAACTTTTATTATCAAAGTATGAGATACGAAGTCTTCCAGCTGGCTCGGAAATGTAATTAAAACATTTTTTCTTACACATGGAAACAGTTATTCATATATCAATCACTGTTGTCTTCAGTAAGAATTTAATTGGATAGGAGGTTTATACAGATTTAATTTTAAAAGTGAGGTGTTCAGTATTACAGATGGAGTTTTTTGTGCTTCAGCTGGGATAGTTTGTCTAATATATGTTAACTTCACATTTTGGAAAGATAATAGACAGTAACTTGATGATTTAAACTGTTTTCAGATTCATTAGGCTTTTGCCAGCTCTTTTTAGATTGTSCCCTTGAGACCTGCTTGCAGAGGAATGGCCAGAGATTACGAGCCCTGCCTCCAGAGACCATTTATGCAATGGGGGAAAAGATAGAAAAGCCCAACCCTCAGAAAAATGCTTGGGAACACAACAGCCTTACAATTCAGAGTCCAGCATGTTCTTTGGAGAGCAGGTATGCTACTCAAAGCCATCTTTCCTTGGTGCCCCCTGTGCCAATGACTRTGCTTAGTAAATGTTTTACCCATCTCAGTTTGGCTGATCCTTACGTAGCTCTGGAGGACTATTGTGCGTAAGAGCAGTTTGGTCCCAGGTCTTAAGAACCTGTCACCTATGTCTAAATCCACATAGTCACAGGGTAACTGTTGAAGGGGAAGTGTGGAGTCTGGTGGTCCTGTGTTGAAGTCGAAAAATGACCTGATAAAGGTACCTTTTCCAGACTTCTACAAAGTAAATAATAAGAGTTATTGATCACATTCTACGTATTGGGCATGTTCTGGACTTTTATATGTATGGTCTCATTCAGTCTTTTTTAAAAATATATTTTAGTTGTCGACAGACCTTTAATTTATTTATTTATATGTGGTACTGAGAATTGAACCCAGTGCTTCACACGTGCTAGGCAAGTGCTCTTCCACTGAGCTACAACTCCAGCTCCCTCATTTGATCTTTATAATAACACTTTAAGAGGGGAARCTGTAATCCCTTTTTCCATAGGATAACAGGCCCAGGAAGTGACATTCCCAGGTAGTTAAGTGGCCAAGCCCCCTGCAGTCTCACTTTAGAACCTCAACTCCTAGTGTGAGAAGAATCATCTTGAGGTTGAGACTCAACATGATGATCTCACTGGCTTACCATTTCAGTCCTCCATGTACTCTGAGTAAAATTCAAACTCCTGACCCTTACTTACATGTTCTAATAGCCCTGACTCTCCAGCTTCATATTCTACCACTTCCCCTCTTTTAAACTAAACCAGTCTTTTCCTGTGGCCTCTGTACTTGCTCCCCCGCTGCGTTTCCCATATATTTAAGCTGACTGCCTTGTCTGACCAGGGTGAAGGAGTCACTCTCTTACCATTATCACCTTATTTATTGTCTTCACTCACCTATCCATTATGTTCAAAATTATTTTTGCTTAATTTTCCCTCCATTATATTAGCAGGCTTGGTGGGGTTAGGGATCTTTTTACACCCCAAATCAGCACATAGTTCTACATAAGCAGTTGTACAATATTTTTCATATGAGAAGCTCAATAAATATTTAAGTGAATGAATGAATTCTACCTCAGTCCTCTCTAGACCATTGACCAGTGAGGAACTTTGCTAATCCTTATTCAGTAAATAAGCAGAAGACAGAAAGTAAAGACAGACCTTCTTTCATCAGAGACTAAAGACTAAATGWTGGGCTGTAGRGGCTATCATATAGCCTCTACAGCCCAACATTTAATAGGGGAAGATAGGGGATAACTTTTCAAAGCTTATTGATGAGTCTTAGGAAATTAATATTTTGTAAACGAGGGAGGTTTGGACTTAAAATTGTTTGTATTTGGATTTTGCAAATGGAAGATACTTCCAAATCCGTTGAGTTCTTCCCCTTTTACTAATGATCTTGGGTTGAAGCAATTTTACTCCTCTAGAATTCAATTCAGTATTAATAAATACTTGGTCTTTAAGAACAGAGATGTTCACCATAAGGAATTATTGTATTATATTCCACTTTCTCTGTAGCCTGGAGGTGACTGATTTATTATTGCTTACTGCTTTGGAAAATCCAGTAAAGAATATTGAGGACAATATGGAACAAAAGGTAAGTCTTCCAGTAGGAATTCAGTGTAAATGAGAAGGAAAACTTTTCAGATCTTTTTGAGCTTTCAGTGAGTCAGATGTAAAGATGCTTTGTCAGTGGCTTGGCATCTTGCCAATATTCAGCACCTGACACCTGGATGTAGTGGTGACCTTAGGTGGCTTGTACCATCTGGCCAAAACTTCATCTTCAGAAACACTGGAGCCTTTTGACATTATATTGGTAGACTTGAAATGGACACGGATAGTAAATTTACACCACAAAAATAAGCAAACACTATAGAGAGGTTTGGGGGATTAATTTTTTCCCTGGAGAGACAGTCAGCAGAYGCTCTCCAGCAAGTGGATATCATTCCTTTAGACTCTCTCCTAAGGAAAATTAACAAACAGGAAAGTCACTTTATTTTTCATTTAATCTCATCAAATGGGTCACCTACATTTAGCCATTTATTTGATAAACTAACTAGCTATTCCAGTAACAATAATGATAATAATGTCTGTATTTACATAGGAAATGGACAGAATTATTTGTTCAACTAAYGTTCTTCATAAAGCTGATCAGACACTCCGAAGAATTGTCTCTCAGACAATGAAGGAAGCAAAAGGTCTGTTGACAGTAGGGGGCTGTAGTTTATATAGTTGACTTGTCCATGTGATATTGACCATTGTTGTGGCCATTTCCTGACACTCGGGTAGTTTATAAGGTTCCAAACTTCACATCCTGCTTAGTTTAAAATTGCAATTTGGTGACACATTGCAACCAATATGGGCAGTAAGCAAGAAGCAGGACATTCTAGTGAGACAAAAAGGAATGTATGTCAGTRCTTTGAAGAAAAAGTAAGCCAAGGCAATGTTGAGTGATGGGTTTATTCTTAAAAGGGCAATCAGAAAGGCTTCTTAGACATAACATTTAAACCCAGATGTGAGTCATGAGAACAACAAGCCAGGCAAGAGACCTGAGGGTTCCAGGCAGTGGACATATGATGTGCCTAAGTCCAGATGTAAAGCCGTCTGAAATGTTCTAGAACAGAAAAGAAGCCATTGAGCCTGAAGTGACACAGGAAGGCWGGGGAGAGGTAGGCAAGGGCCAGATAGGTGTAAGATTTTCATGGAATTCTGAGCAAGATTGATGTAAATCGGAATTTAACTAATAGATGAAATATGTATTTCCTTCAGGTTTGGAATATTTAACTATAAATTTTTACTTGCAGAAAAAAAARAACAGCAGCTAGCATTTCTTTAGTTCTCTTTATAAGCTAAGTGCCTTACACTCWCTAATCTTTACATCTGTAAGGCAGGTGTGCTTTTACAAGGGGCAAATGCAGGTTCACAGTGGATCAAGTAACTTTCCCAAGACTGAACAGCTGCATCACCAACACTTACTAGTACCCTAACAAAAGATTAGAACATTGGGAAAGGAAAAAACATACTAACCATGTTGTGTTTCTCAAACTTTTAAAAAATCCATACTTAATTAGCTCTTACATTGCAAACCAGTACGTAACATGGTACATAAACTCAGGCATGTCTACAAGTTTCACAAAATACCCTCACATGTATAAYGAATTCTGCTGTTTTAATTTCATTTTAGAAAAACAGTGCCATACACCACTAATGGGTTACGATCCAGAATTTATAGCAGAGGTCCAGAACAGAAATGGCAGCATAATTAGAAAATAATAAAAAGTAGTTCCAGGAGTTCTCTCTTAACCGTTGCCTTTCTTCTATTCTATCTTTTGCCTAAATCTGTCTTAACTATTTCCCACCTATAAAAAAACTCTTAAGGGGATCCAAGGTAGTTAGTCTAGTTTCTAAATCTGTGTTTAAATAAAATTGAAAATTCAATTTCTCTATCATAAAGTGAAAAGCCAACTGACAAGTGAGAAAATATTTGCAAACTTATAGCTCGTAAGGAACTTGTATATATCCATATATAAAGAAAGAACTATTAAAAAAAAAAGAAAGAACTCTTATCACTCAGTAAATAACTCAATTTTTAAAGGGACAAAGGATCCTAATAGACATTTCTCTAATGAAGGTATATAAATGGTCAATAACCACATGAAAATGCATTTGACATCACTTAGTCATCAAGGAAATACAAATCAAAACCATAAGGAGACACCACTTCAAGCCTAGGTGACATTGATGATGTGGAGAAATCTGAACCCTCATGCCCTACTGCTGGGAATGTCAAATGATGCAGCTGCTCTGGAAAACAGCCTAGCGGTCCCTCAAATGTAGTTACCATGTGGCCCAGCAATTCTGCTCAAGGTCTATATTCTCAAGAGAAATGAAAACAGATGCTCACACCAGAACTTGTACATGAATGTTTATACCAGCATTATTCATGATAGCCAAAAGATGGAAACAATCCAAACGTCCATCTGCTGATAAATGAATAAACAAAATGTGGTCTATCCACACAATGGGATATTATTCAGCCAGAGGAATGGAGTATTGATATAGAAKACAACATGAGAAAACATGCAAAGTGAAATAATCATAAACATTTATTATATGATTCAAGTCATATGAAATGTCCAGAGCAGGGAACTTTTTGAGACAATTAGGGATTGAGAAAGGGGTAGGAAAAAGGGAAGTTGGGAGAGTGATAGCCAAAGGGTAGAGGGCTTTTAGATTATGAAAATGTTCTAAAATCAACTTTGGTGATGGTTGTATTATATGACTATATGAAAAGCCACTGTATTATACAGTTAAGTGGATAAATTTATGGTATATGAATTAAATCTTAATAAAGCTAATGGTCAAGTTGAACTTCAGATTCTCAGTAATAGTGCCTGAATGTCTAGCACCTACTGTATTGAATAGGATAGAGAACTTAGAAGAATCCTTTGTGTGATATAATCAAATTAATTTTCAGCCTAGATTTGCAGAAATAATTTGAGAATCTTTTTTATTTTAGATGAACAAGTACTTCCTAACAACTTGAAGCTTCTAGCAGAAGAACTTAATAAGCTCAAAGCAGAATTTCTGGAAGACCTAAGACAAGGAAACAAATATCTATGCTTTCAACCAACCACTGACCTATCAGATGTCACTTCTTTTTTTTGTAATGAGAAAGATAATATTGTACAGAAGTATTTTTCAAAGCAACATTAAAATTTCAGAATTTCCAACTGTTTGATTTTGACGAGCTTTTGCAGAGAAGTAATTTTGTATTAGTGGGTGTTTTCTAGGCCAATAATGTGACCTGCTAAAGACCATTCTTTCAAAGAAAACAGTCTATTCTAAAGGACCCATTAGTCATAACAGAAATCACTTCAGTCACTTGTCAGATATGACATGGATAATTAAGCATCCGAGGTGGCCCTCCTCATTGATGTGCCAGAACCCTTAGGGCATAGGAGTCAGGTTAAATGGATCCTGAATAAAGAGGGTAAGCTRGGATGGAGGCAATTGCACATATGTGGGGCTATTTTTGTTTTTAGCTTGGTGATAGATCTTTTCATGGTAAGGCATTCTAGAAATTCAAACTTGGGTACCCATAAAATCTTTTTCTTTTATTAACTTAACATTTTATATACCAGAAAATTACTAAAAAACTAATTTATTCCTAGTTTTCAAAAAAGAAAAATCAAGGTTATTAGAAAGTATTATTTTTTTATTCATATATTACAAAAGCAAAGCTTCATTCACCATTTAAACTACATACTAGATATAGTTATTTCAGCATTAAACTGTTTCCTGGATTCCTAAAGAATATAATGTATTTTACAACCATAATGCAAGATTTATGCTTTGCATACAAAATATGTTCTTTACATCAAAGTACATATTAACAAAAACAAGTTGTAGAAAGTATATACCCTCTAAGATTAAAGAAAAAGTCTTTAGCAGGGAATTAAAAAAATTTTTATCAACACGCTCATTTGATAAATAATTTTGTAGAACTTAAAATTAGGTTTATCTCTCTTTGTTTTTAGTAATATTCCCTTTGTCAATCAATTCTACAGATGAAGGGCAAATATTTTTTTTCTACAAYGAAACAGCACAAAAAATACCAAATGGAGTTTTTTCAAAGTAAAAGTCTAGCTAGCCTTTACTTGATTTTCAAGAAGTTGTAGCTACATACTACATTAGTGAAATCTGAAATAAAATTATTCCCTGTTAATCTCTTCACAGTTTCTTAAAAAAATATTAGTGGAGATAAATTATCTACAAACTTTAAAGATCTAAACTCATGTTCACTGAACAAAAATAAATTTAGTTTCAGAACATTGCCTGTTAATGGCAAAGTASTATAAATAGTGCATGTTAAACTCTTCCTAACTCATTTCTATAAAATATTTGATTAAAAATTTAAAAAAATGAACATTTAAGGGAAGATCCTAACATCTTTCCAAATACACAATTCAACTCAGGAAGTTTAAATAAAATACTAAATCTTTTAAAAAGTACAATTCCAAAAAAGTTTCTAAGGTAGATTTGCTTCAAAAATTTTAGTGCATTTAGAAAGAATTGTAGCTTTGAAGCATCAACACCTTTGGAATACCAACTGTGCTCTTTTAAGTGGTAGGAAAATTATAATTTTACATTCTAGTTTGTAATTATGAAAAATATTTTCCATTTAAATTAAAATGTACCTTTAAAACATCCATCTTTAGTTGTTAGAAAAAAATGTATTTGTCACTATTTGGCCCATAATATACAATTAATAAGCTTGTTTTCAGAAGAGTTATTCCTCTTTGTTTAATGAAAATTTCTGTTTTCTGTTTTGGGCTATTGCTTTTATTTGAAGAATAACATAGAAAACAAATAAAATTGCAAAAGTTTCCAAATGACAACTCGTTTCTTTCTGACAAATGATAAACACTAAAGCCAAGTTACACATTTGGAAATTGCACTAAAACTGATCTAAGCAGTGGTGATTCAAGCAGGAGTGAAATCAGAACTTAAGGTCACAAGATTTGACAGCAAGAGAGTTCCAGTTTGGAGAAAGTGTCCTTGATGCTGTGCTTTAAACAAGGCAGTGGAGATTAGCCTAGATTGGCTACTCAACCACAAGCACTCACTCTAATGGCTTTCAAGCACTGCAGGGAGGCAGAGGGCTCTTTTAACTGGGCACTTGGGGCTTAGTGAGCAGATACTATCAATATTTCCCTTTTATTTACTATAAGAGTAAGGGTGCTTTTTTGTTTAATAAATGCTTAATAGCACATTTTCTTTAAGAATCCAATTATGTATATTTTCAAGATATGAACCAAGTTAAAAATAATTTTTTTGCAAAGTACACAGAAACCAAGTTATTAACAATATATTTTATTGTTTGACCAAACTCTCTTCGGAGTAAGCTAGTTATTACACAATATAAAAACAATAGCCTCCTGTTCAAAATGAATTACTCTATTTAGCAAGCCTTACTTGTATAAACAAATTAAATGGCATGTTTAAATGAATTTTATATCCATTTTTACACCTTTATCCTTTTCTATTAAGGGGACAATTCAATCAGTTTCCATATGGTATTGTCACTGTACATGAAGACTGGTAAAACTGCAAGTAAATATTACAGTTTGAATTCACAGAAAATATTTTAAATGGCCAACTCTGAAGAGAAGACCAGGATTTCTTCTGGATTCAAATTCTTGTTTTTATTAAGTATTACTTTACTATCACATTTCCCCATGTGTTTCTATACCCACCTTTTCTTGGATATTATGGGCAATAAATGGATAGAAGGCAGGAAAAGGAAACTTTGGAGATTTTTTTGAAGGACTGCATCTTAATAATAAGATGAATGACTTCCACTGTATCTCTTTGGTCATCAAAGGAATAGGAAGAAACAGATTCTCACCATACCAACTTCACCTGACACTAAACATCAGAAGGAAGAATTTAAATGAGAAGTTCAAAATGAAAAGAATGGCATCTAGTGGTTTTTAAAAACAAACTGCCAACTGTTAGAAAAAAATCCAATGGAAAACTGACATATTTAAAGTAGACATGAAATAAACAAGTTATTTTAAATATTAAACACAATTTTCAATTTAAAGTCTTGAGTTTTACTTCTTTTCAGAACTTTGACCTATTTTTATTTTAAAATAATTGTTTTACATTTTCCCTTGTAGAAAAAAAAAGGTTTACTATTATCAGTTGAAATCAAACTACTAATTCAACTTAAGATATGTGAACTAAATAGTACTTTAATTAAGAATAATTTTAAAGGCCAATTTCTCTACAAACACTGAAATAGGTTGTAACAGATTTTGTAAGAGAAAATAATTTACTCTACCATTTTGAAATATGGCAGAAATAACATCTGGCTACACTGTATATACGGAAATAGCAAGAGTATGGATAAGCCTTCAAGTCTCTATGGACCATAAATGTGGGAAATGTAAAAGAACACCTGTTAAAATTATGATTGTACTCCAATTCTCACATGTATAAATGAAAGGGAAAAACAGATATCAATAACTATTCTAATACATAAATGACCCTGACCAAACTTTTATGAAAAAAATTTTCCACTGTCAAATTTATATTCTATAAATATAATGCATAAACTTTAAATTAGCAGACACCTCATTAGGGATAACCCCCCCCAAAAAAAAAACCCACAAAAAAACAAACTACAACCCCCCAGAAGGCCAAACCAAGTAAAACATAGTGATTGTTTTCAGTGTTGGTTATGTTGCCCTCTTGCAAAATGACAGGCGAAATCATACTTGTTTTTACATTTGCATCCACATATATTACACTGGAAAGGATTTTCATACCCATGACACCCCATGTGAATAGTGTAAAGGATATTGTCTGCAAAGTACATGTCACAGTGCTGGCAGTGGTGCAGAAGCTGAGGATCCTGGACCGGCAGGGTTGGGGCTGGAGTGCTTGGCTGGCTGTTTCCTATGCTGGGAGTACTAGTGTGGGCACTTGGTTCACTGCTTGGACCTGCCACTGGACTATAGTTCCTCTGACTATGTGATGGCCGAGGTTCAGGGCTTGTGGGAGAGGAGCTCTGAGGAATACTTGCTGATACAGCAGAAACCACTGCTTGGGCAGAGGGCTGCTGAATCATGAAAGGCTTTTCATCTGGGCAGGGAACGACATCAGGGGATGCAGGGTTTTGGTTTTCAGGTGGCAAACTGGACAACTGTCCTGCTAGAGTTGAGAGCTGATTTAAAGGGTTGTCAACCATGAGTTCTTGGGGGTCCCTCGGTAAGCCACCAGTTGGTGTTGTTTTTGCTATACTTTCATAGGAGTCAGTCTGGATACTTGGGATTTCATGGGTAAAATCATTAAGGTAGTCTGGTTTCTGAACCACCATGGAAGGTGGACTTAAGTTGATTAGTGCTCTTCTGCTATACCCCAGATTGCTTGTTTTCTTCTGTAAAACCCCCCACATTTTCTTGCTGCTTAAGGAAGACCTAGTACCTTTAATTGGTACCATTTTATGCTTGCGCCTTCGATGATGAGACAGGTTACTTCGATCACTGCAGCGGAAGGAACATAATTCACATTTGTATGGTTTTTCTCCAGTATGGGAACGCATGTGGGCTTCCAGATGACGCTCATAAGCAGATGCAAATGGACACAAGTGACATCTATGTGGTTTCTCACCTGTTTAAAAGGAAAAATGGGGGAGAAACTGCAAAAGTAGCTCATTTATGGAAAGTTCCATGTTTGTCCATTCATTGGATTTGGGAATTAGTTGAAAATATAATGTTTTTAAGAAATTCACACTTGCATAAAAGATTATTAAAGTCTGTAAAGAAACCTGCAAGTTGAAATAAAACCTAAGAACTCATCTGCAACAATTTGAGATATACATTTAAATTCTATTAGTCAATATAGTTATAGCTTTAACTGGCATTTGGGGAAAGAAGAAATAGCCCAAATGACAATAATATTTGCTACATGATTTTATCAACAGTATGCCTCAGAGAAATATATTCAAGCACATGACCATTCATAAACACTTAATTATATATCTATATTCATAGATATACACATTTATGCATACCCTTTCTTCAGGGGGAAAATACAAAAAAAATACTTTTAAAAAAGTCCTTATATAAAATAAAAAGCTAGTCCAAGTATGAGTTATGCAAATTATCCCTTCAAAACTGCCAGCACTTTTCTTCTACCTTCCTACTCTTTAGTTCCCAGAAGGCACGACTTTAGTTAATGCTGTTAGCTGAAGACTCCCCAAGTACGCAGAATAAACATTTGGAATGAAAGATTTGGAGCCATTCACCTAACWAGTATTGAGACCTACTATGTGCCAGATGCTACGCTAGTTTTGGGGTACAAGAATGGCCCTATCACAATCCCTGTCTTCACAGGCTTTTCAAGTCACCAAAATGATGTGATGGATGAGCACAGAATGCCATGGAACACAAAGGCAGGACAACCGGCCTGGTCTTGAATCGGGGTAGGGTGTAGTTAGGAAGATTGCTCAGAGATGGTAAAGGTGAGACCAGGTGCAAATGAACAGTACTAGTGAGAGTAAGATAAAAACAATTCAACATTCCATGCTGCCTTTAGCATTAACCTCCCCCAACCTTAAAAACAGACGGATGTTGACAGATTATGTAGTTCAACCA